CGGCCCCGGCCCACGTCGGAGGCGATGTGGCGCAGGGAGTAGAAGCGCTGCAGCTCGTGCTTGTTGAGGACCTCCTTCACGTAGTACCAGAACACCGGCTCTAAGGAGAGAGGGCACAGGCACCTGGCACTCAGCCTGGGGTACTTAGCATTGGGAAAGGAACACACAAAGCCCCTAGGCGATGTTGGAGATTGTAACAGAGTATCCCCTTAGGATGGAAAAGGTGGGGGATAACACCAAGACATGGAATCAACCCAGATACCCACCAATAGTGGACTAGATAAACAAAATGTGGTACATTTACACAACGGAATACTACGCAGCCATGAAAAAGAACAAAATTGTGTCCTCTGCAGCAACACGGATGACTGGAGGCCATTATTCTAAGCGAATTACACAGAAATAGAAAATGAAATACTGCATATTCTCACTTATAAATGGAAGCTAAACACTGGGTACACACAGACATAAAGATGGCAAACAACAGACACTGCGGACTGCTAGAGAGAGTAGAGAGGGAGAAGAGCATGGACTAAAAAACTACCTACCGGGTACTATGTTCACTACCTGGGAGATGGGTTCAATCGTGCCCTAAACCTCGGCATCACACAACGTTCCCAGGTAACAAACCTGCACATGTACCCCTTGAATCTAAAATAAAAATTGAGGCTGGAAACAGTGGCTCACGCCTGTAATCCCAGCACTTGGGAGGCTGACGTGGTGGATCACTTGAGGCTAGGAGTTTGAGACCAGCCTGGCCAACACAGTAAAACCCTGTCTCTACTAAAAATGCAAAAATTAACTGGGCGTGGTGATGCACGCCTGTAATCCCACCTAACGGGCAGCTGAGGCAGGAGAATCACTTAAACCCAGGAGGCAGAGGTTGCAGTGAGGTGAGATTGCACCACTGCACTTCAGCCTGGTGACAGAGCAAGACTCAGCCTCCAAAACAATAATGAAATTTTTAAAAAGTGGGAGATATAGAAGAGTATATAAAAAATAAGAATTACTCTAAAACCTCTCATCCAGGAAAGACCAACGATGACATTTTTAAGAATTCTCAGTCTTTTTTACTGCACTTTTCTTTTTTATAATAAAACCAACATTTGCTGTAGGCTGAATTATAATCCTCAAAGATATTGACATCCTAAGCTCCAGAATTCTCTGAATATTACGTTATACGGTAAAAGAGTCTTTGCAACTGTGTTAGGATCTGGAAATTGGGAGGTTATCTTGCATCATCCCTGTGAGGCTGATGTAATCACAAGATCTTCATCAGAGGCAAGGACAGGCAGAGAGAAACTTGACGCAGAATAGGAGGACATGATGTGACCAGAGAAGCAAAGACTAGCATGGGGCAGCCACAGCCAAGGAAGGTGGGCAGCGAGCAGACTCTGAAAGGGCCAGGAACGGATTCAGCCCTGGAGCCTCCAGAAGCAAGCAGCCCTCCTGTCTGTCACCTTGACTTTAGCCGAGTGAAGCTGATTTGGGACTTCTGGCCTCCGGAACTGTAGGAGAATAAATTATAGTGTTTAAAAGTCACCAACTGTGTATTAATTTGTTATAGCAGCCAGAAGAAAAAAACACATCAGGCCGGGCACGGTGGCTCACGCCTGTAATCCCAGCACTCCAGGAGGCCAATGCGAGCGGATCATCTGAGATCAGGGGTTCCAGACCAGCCTGACCAACATGGTGAAACCCCATCTCTACTAAAAATACAATAATGAGCCAGGCCTGGTGGCAGGTGCCTGTAATCCCAGCTACACGGGAGGCTGAGGCAGGAGAATCACTTAAAGTCAGGAGGCAGAGGTTGCAGTGAGCCGAGATCACACCACTGCACTCCAGCCTGGGCAACAGAGAAAGACTCTGTCTCAAAAAAAAAAAAGGCTGGCACAGTAGCTCACTCCTGTAATCCCAGCACTTTGGGAGGCTGAGGCAGGCACATCACAAGGTCGACATGGAGGCCATCTTGGCCAAAATGGTGAAATCCCGTCTCGACTAAAAATACAAAAATTAGCTGGGCATGGTGGCGCACGCCTGTAGTCCCAGCTACTCGGGAGGCTGAGGCAGGAGAATCACTTGAACCCAGGAGGCGGAGGTTGCAGTGAGCCGATATCACACCACAACACTCCAGGTTGGTGACAGAGCAAGACCCTGTCTCAAAAAATAAATAAATAAAACCACATCATATTGTATGAGTGTATATGCATACATAGTTATATGTGTAATTTTATATCCTGATTCATTTATTTCTTGTCTAGATCATGAACATTTTCCTATTACAATTAAAAGTCTTTCAAAGATGATTTTTGATGGTTTCCCAGTAAAACATAACGATTTCCCTACTACTAAGGGCATGGCACATGGCCAACTTTCCCTCTGTACAGTAAAGAACACCCCTATACATAAATAATTGTCCTCACTTCTAGTTCCTTAGGAAAGATTTCCACATGTCAAATTACTCAGTCTGAGGATAGGAACAGATTTAACGCTTTATGGGAAACTCAAGACAGTTTATTTTTACCCATAAGACAGTCATTCCTACAACTACTTGTATCTCCTCACATCCCACCACTTTTTATCCACGTGTACACAGATTTTTAAATTTTTTTATATACATTTTAAATTAATTATTATTTGTTTATTTTTGAGACAAGGCCTCTCCCTCTGTCACCCAGGCTGGAGTTCACTGCAGCCTCAATGTCCTGGCCTCAAGTGATCCTCCTGTCTCGGCCTCCCGAGTAGCTGAGACACAGGCATGCACCCCCATGCCCAGCTAATTTTTTAATTTTTTATTTATTTGTAGAGACGATGTTCTGCTATGTTGTGCAGTCTGGTACCAAACTCCTGGCTTCAAGTGATCCTCTTGCCTAAGATTCCCAAAATGCTAGGATTACAGTCGGGAGCCACCATGCCCAGCCCCAGATTTTTTCATAGTTGTCATGCTAGTGTATACATAATTTTGTGATCAATTTTCTTCACTTAACATTGGCTCTTCAACACTTTTTCGGGCTGGCAATAATAATAACAGCAGCAACAACAACCACTATTTACTGAGCAGTAACTAAGCACCAGCCATTGCAGCAAACACTTCACATCTGACATCATCACAACCAAGGCCATCTCCATGTGAAAGACAAAGTCTGAAGCCAGGACAAGTGAAGCGACTCACCCAGCAACACAGTTAGTAAACAGTATGGCAGAAAGGGACCTCAGAGCTCACTGCAAACCCAAATCACGCTGCCTTGCAAAATGAGGGGACTTGGCCTTCTTCGAAATGGTCACGTTCACAACTGTTTAATATTCCAAGTGCGGGAAGCTGAGTCTTTGCAGTTAGACCCGGCTTCCAATCTAGGAGCTAAACAGGCTCACAGTCCCCTCTGAAACGTCACAAAGGCTTTGAACCTGCCTTCCGGAAGGAGGCAAGTACACCCATCTCCAGAAACTGCATGGCAGGCTAGTTAAGTTCACTCTAATGTTTCAATTCAACTTCACTAGGATCCACTGCATTCTTTCTATGAGCTGTGAACCGAGGTAGGCTATGTGTCACCAGCTAGAGACAACAACAACTCGTCCCTAAGGGACTTCCAGTCTAGCAGGCAGGACGAACAGAGAAAAAGTCCATTCAACCAAATGACCTTCCGCAAGTCACTCAACCGTGCTAAGCCTGAAAATCCTCTCCCATAAAATCAACACAAAAGTACAGAATCACCCAAGGTTACTGGGGTAACTAGAAAGGGAAGGAAAGCACCAAGCACAGTGCCCAGTCCATGATGACCAATCAGCATTTCCTTAATAATTAATTCCCTTCACAGCAGAGGACATTCACGTGGGTTCTTCTGTTTTCGCAGCATCTAAATGTACACATCTGTATGCGTGAGCGTAAGTATGTGTGGATCAAGCCAATCGCTGGGATCATTTAGAATAATCTTCCCAGGAATAACAAAAACCAGCAAGAGGGCAGGTCCCTCAAGACTATCTTCTGTCTCAATCCCTAAATGTCAAACTAATCCACTTCCCAAGCTCATCAGATCAGTCTAATCCACACAACTGTACACAACCGCCTTCCGTCCACTCTCCGCCTCACTCAGAAACCAGGACGGGGAATCTGGTGACAACTCCCTCGGTCAGCTGGCCAACAACGTGTTTCGAAATACCCCAGACCATTATCTGTACGTCCATCACATTTCCAATCAAGTGACTCTCACCTGCAGCCTGTCTTGAAAAACGCAGTCACCTCCCTCCGACCTTGAATCTACATGAATGCTTTAAAGTATGTTTTCACCTTTCAATTCTGCAAATTGCTTACTGCTACAGAATCCTTTTAAAGCTTGTCAGGGTGATGCTGCTGCTGATAAGAATTATCCCAGCAGGGTTCTGCTTCCACTGCCAGAATTAATGTGCTCTATTTAAAGTGCAGCTCACCTGCCAATTAGCGCCTGCCGTGTCCGTAATTTAATTTAGAGATATACGCCGATCTGCTTTGAAACATGGTGCTAAGTCAAAAAGCGGGCAAGGGCTTCTGGTTCTGCAAACACCTGAAAGCCAAACACCAACAAAAACAAGTGCCAGGAAGGAGTATTGAGAAGAGCTGCCCTGGGGCACCTGTTAAAAGAAGATGACTAACAGCACCAGGCTTTTGGGAAAGTTTCTATCAAGACTTAACCTATCACCGAAGCCATCACCAATGCCAAGAATTCATACCTTAGAGACCACAAGGAAGACAAAAACCTTGTCCCAAATTCTAGTTCAGGCACTGTGTCACCTTGGGAAACTTTTTTTGTCCTCTACTTTCTTCATCTGTACAATGGGGAGAACAGTACCTACCTGTATGGATTGCTATCAGGGAAAAATGAGAAACAGGAATACATGTCAAGTGTATCCAATAATGCAGTGAATAAATGTTAGCCATAGTGATTAACATACCCGGCATATAATTGGTGCTCAGTGAAAACCAGCTATTAATATCACTACCACACTTGCACCAAACAGCATTCCTTTTCCTTGTTTGGAGTTTCTTTTTTTTTTTTTTTTTTTGAGGGGCGGGGTGGGGAAAAGGTCTCGCTCTGTCGCCCACGCTAGAGCACAGTGGCACGATCA